TATATATTAGTTTTATATATATTTAGATAGAATATTATATAGCATTAATATAGAAACATTTTGATTGGCTATTAGAAATGTGGCACAATCACATGACCTCACATGACCTCAGGTAACACAAGGTTACACAAGAAAGTCCTTTGGGTTACACAAAGAAGTAACACAAGAAAGTAACACAAGTTCACCCAAGTTCCCCTATATAAAGTCCCCCAAGTTCCCCTATACAAACACAAGTATTTTGGATACAAAATCCCCAGGTTTCCCTCCTCCAGGTTCTTCTTCACAAACAATAAATAAATATAAACAAATTGAATAATGTTTATATTCCCCCAACTTCCCCCAGTACAATCCCCCAACTTCCTCTAACACAATTCCCCAACTTCCTCTACTAATGTTACTCATCCCCCAATATTTCCTTACACACTGTGTACCTTTTCTTTGAGACAGAAAAGATATATAAAGGGTGCCTTTTCCCCTCTCTGTCAATTCTATAAGTTTCTATACTTCACTTAGACTCTGTTCTCTTTATACCCTTCTTGTAAATGTGATATTCTCTCTCTAGGGTAATTCCTACAGGTAAGGTTTATCCTATGTTCTTGCATGAAATAAAGTTATTCTATATACTGTTACTATCTCGAACTGTTTGCCTCCTGCTGTGTAGTTAAGTGAACAACTACACATCCACCCCGTGTATATTTGCAAGAGTTAATCACTGCACTGGGTAACCTTGTTACTTGGTTGTATTTTACTAAGAAGGCTACAACCCTATAATACTACTTTAGTTTTGGTTACTATTATATTATTTTTTTAATCAACTTCTATATTTGTAACCCAATTTAGAATTTATTTGTGCAATCTGATAATTATTTTTCCAAGCAAATACTTTACAAGTTAGATGCAGAGATGTTAATACTACCTAATGGATGTTAATACTGCTTGTCTTAAAGAACTCATATACATGATCTTCATATAACCAAACTTTTTGTGACATCACTATCAATATAATGCCATGCTTTACAACCTGGTCTCCTTTTGAAAACTCTTTATTCTGGTTTTATACTGCATTTGGACTTTTTACAAAGCTTCATATTCTATTTATAACCCCCATAAATTACAAAAACAAATTTTATTAAAATTTGCTTCCAGCCCAACTTGAACTGTTAATCTTAACTGTGAAGGTTTAGAAGTTTAACCACTAAGCTATAAAACCCAAACTCAGAAATTAAAACTTCTATTTTAGACTAATTATATTAATAGTTAAGAAATATATTCAATTAAATAAGTTGATATATATAATTTTATATAATATATAAAGAGAATGACTATTTCCACCCCCCATTTTTGCTGATGCCACCCCCCAAATATCAAAAGGTGCTCCGGAATAGATATTTTTATTAAGTAAACCCTTCTTTTGATCTTAATAAAAGTTGTTCATCAGGCCTTTCCGGTTCTAATGGTAGTAAAATCATTATACTTGGACCAGTAGTTTCTAAGATATTTATATCCGAAGTTAGCTAACTTTCATTGACTTTTTAGAAAAAACTGCCAGTCCGATTTTAATGTTTTACTACCATTAGAACCAGAAAGGCCTGATGAACAACTTTTATTAAGATCAAAAGGTAGGTTTTCTTAATAGAAATGTCTCTTACGGAGCACTTTTTAAATTTTGGGGGTGGCATTAGCAAAAATGGGGGGTGGAAATAGCAATACTCTATATAAATTTATATAAAAAATAATTTAATTTATTTAAATAAATGATTTGACTATTACGGGTGTGACTTGACTGTTATGGTATGTTCGGTCATATAGTAATTCGTTGGCCAGGTTTTCATACGTATAAAATTTAAGCAACTTAAGAGAACTTCGGCAAGTATAATTTTATTTTTACATGCTTATTTATTCAAAAGTTATTAAAGATAATTTTTTTAAAACTCGGACAACGACTTACTATGTGGCCCCCGTATAGTGTTTGTAAATCGTATGATAGCAGACACCTAGGTAAGCCGTGACATATTTAATTAGCGAGATAAATTCTAACGTTATTATTTTATGAAGACACTTTTCATTAAATATTTTGCCTATATAGAATTTTAAAATGTTAAATATTGCGGGAGAAGTTAAAGGCGAAGTAAATCCCAAAATTTATCTTCATCAAATATGTCATTTGCACTATGTAATTAAACTGATAGGATATATCCCCAAGTAATAGATGAACAATATAAGTAATAGGCTTTTCTGATATATAACTAGTACACAGTCCTAGAGTACTTTTTTCACTAATAACAACCGTAATAATATATCAGTCGCATTTATGGTACTAAAAAAAAAAGGAGACTGACAATAATTTGACAAATTATTTATTTCTTTAATATTATACTAACAGAAATTCTAACATTGAAAAAATTATTAGTACAGAATTAAATTGTTATAATGCGTAAAAAATAGGTATACTACAATGTTTTTCATGCAAATTTTAGATGTAAATAAATAAATAAATATATATAATTTCCTAAAAATTTAAGACACGATTCATCAAATTATCACTACTATAAGAAAGCAAATTTTCTTAAAAACATTACGTACGTACATACATAGGCAGCATGTGGAAATATGCAGACTAAAGAGATAGTTTTCTTCAACAATCCCTGAAACTAAATTGAAGTTGTGGTCTATTATCCATTATGTCATCAATTTCTTTTAAGATTTCCGGTGTTAATTTTGAGATCAAATTTACGGCTTTGAGATTTTCTATCATTTGTTCAGGTTTAGATACACCAGTAATCACAGTATCAACATTAGGTTGTTTCATACACCTAATTTAAAACCAAATGTATAATTAGAAATTGCTAAATTAATAATCGATCAAAGGGAAAAAATATTCTTGATAAAAACAAATTTTACCATGCAAGTGCGAGTTGGGCAGGAGTAACACGAATCCGCTCTGCAACGGGCTTACATGTTAAAAAGAAATCACATAAAACATTTTAAAACACATCAAATAATTTATAATCAAAAGAAAAAGAAACAAGTTGAAAAATTTACCATTAGTCTTTTAACTTTTTCGATTTTAAGTTGACCTTCTGGACTTAACAAACCATCTCTTAACATTTCCATTTGTGTATTATCTTCTAATGCAAAGCGAGAATCTTTATCTATATGATCATTATGTTTTCCGGTAAGGACACCACCAGCAAGAGGTGACCAGACTGCAGCACCCATCTTATAATTATTAAATAAAGGAACATACTCTTTTTCTACACGTTCTCTATGAAACAAATTATATTGTACCTGGAAACATAAATAAATAAATAAAATAAATAAAACTATTTCATCTTTAAAAAAAAAAAAAAAACGAAAAATTAATTGCTTACTTGTTCGGCCTTTGTAAGAATATTTTAATAAAACATGAAAAATTTAACCAATTACTTTATTCGGTACAATGTACTAACTGAAAAGAGGAGTATTGAAAAAAAAAATACCAGTGGAGGAATAAGTCCGAGTTTGTTAGCTACACAATGAGCTTCTACAATAAGATGGGCAGGCCATTCAGAAGTTCCCCAATAGAATGCTTTTCCTTGATCAATTACAAAATTAAATGCGCGAACTATTTCCGTCATTGGCTTTAATAATTAATAAATGATTGAAATTTTGAAAATCGAAAGCAATTTCACAAAAAATAAAGATAAAAAAACAAATCAAAAAAAAAAATAATAATAATAATAAACGTACAGTATCAGGGTCTGATCTATGCGCGTATACAATATCGACATAATCTAGTCCTAACCTTTGTAAAGAAGCACTTAACCCTTCTACGATATGTTTTCTTGATAATCCACGATCATTTGGACCTTTACCACCCCAGAATATTTTTGTAGATATTACGAAACCAGATCTACTCCAACCTAACCTTTTTATTGCGAATCCCATATCAATTTCGGATTTTCCACCTGAATAAACTTCAGCAGTATCGAAATAATTGATACCATTGTCAAATGCTATTTGCATACATTTTTGAGTAACATCTTTAATCAGAGTTTTTGAAAGGTATAGGATGTGGCGGAAGAATTAGGAATATTCATAATTAGTTTATTTGAGGATATAAAATTACGTAATGATAAATGTGTATTTGTTCACCTGTAGAAACTCTACCCCCAAAGTTAACCCAACCACCAAGAGAAAGAACCGATACTTTGAGGCCACTATCCCCCAAATATCGATATTCCATTTTTTTTTTTTTTTTTTTTTTTTTTACGATATTATTTTTATTCAAGATAACTCATATTTCAAGGCTCAATTTAAGAAGATGGTACAAAAATCATTTTTATTATTAATTTATTTCATAAAAGGAATTTTGAATACAAGGATTGTTTAACGTAAGAACCAAAATTAGTATTGTGGCTCGTACATGCTTTTTAAATAATATTATGCAAGCCTCTCTTGAAACTGTCATTGTTGCGGCGAGAAATCTCCGATGTTATCTGCATAATCGAATGGTACAAATAATTTGTGATGACCAACGGGTCTTACAAGTCCGTTTAAAGGATAATTCTAGTAGTTAGTGCACAGTAATTAGTTCTTAATTCTCTTAAAAACTCTTTCAATAAAAAAATTTAGAATTCTCAAGTAAAAATAAGCAAAAGTGTAAATCGAAACTAATTTATATAATAATTAAGAATCAAAATATTTAATTTATCGCGTTTCAACAAGAAAAAGGTATTAAATAAGAAATGGTCAGAGCAAGAGTTCCGCGTGTGCATCAAAGAGGATCACTATATCCGATGCCTGTCGAAAGAAAACCTTCAAAGAATGAATCAAACGAAATAGCAACACACGATTTACCGAAAGATACCAAATCATTAGAAATAAATTTGCCATCTAACGAAATTATAAAAGAATTTCATGAAGAGTCACCCATAACGTCTCCGGAAGAGTCTATTGAAGAGTTTCCTTTAACACCGCAAAGTGAGTCTATGGAAGAAGTTCATAAAGAAAGACATTATAAACGGAGGGAACAAGCAAATATAGAATCGCCACTATTAAATGAAGCATCCAAAGAAGAAACTCGTAAACGAAGAAGGACATCAATAGCAGGAACATTGCCTTATGAACATTTAATCTCATTTGATGGTATCCGTGAGTCACAACGAATAGAAGAATTTGGAGGAATAGAAGAACCAATTGTTGATTCAATTGTTGAACAACGAAATCAATATCCGGTTCCATTTCCTTCTTCCTATGGGTTTGAGGTAATATATTTTTTTGTTCTTCAGGTTGATTGATTGATTGAAACTAATTTTTATGGCAAACCAAAAGTACCAACAGGTGCCACAATCACCGATACAAACATCGTTTATCGAGCCAATTCAATATTTAGAGAGGATTCCGCCGATTTCTAATGAAGTTGAACCGCCAAAGAGTCCACTCAAACATGGAGATGTTTTTTTAACGGAATGGCATGACTTAAATTCATGGAATTTATAGAAAGTTATCAATGAGAATTAGTTTTTAAAAAAAAAACAGACCTTTGAAAACTATACATTTTATTTCGGGCAGCATAAATAAAAGCGCGCGAAAATAAAAGTTTAGAATTAAGGTCTTTATAAATAATATTTATGTGTATTGATTCTTTTTTTTTTTTTTACAAGATTTAAGTGAAAAATATTATTTAATTTCTCGCATCATAATGAAAATAGTGAAAAAATTTTTTTCAAAATCAATAAAAAATTTGTACTATTTTGTACTATTTGTATAATTGAAATTACGAAATATCGTTAACCTGAAGGTATGTATGTATATGGAAGCTTTTTTTTTCATTTTTTTGTACGAGTTTTTTTAAAATAGGTGAATTACTTTTGTATCAATATTTAAATGTCTGGAAATCTATGATGTGAATATTGAGCTTGATTTTTTTCATAAACTTCGCATTGCTTTGCATTTCAAACATATCAAACATATCAAACATATCAAACATATCAAACATATCAAACATATCAAACATACGATCTCAATCAATATCTTTCCAACACTGATGAAGACTGATTTACAGCTTCGTACAATTCGTACAATTATAGGGTTGGATCAGTTCATTTGTACAGTATTTTCAATTTCATCGAAATATGTACGTACGTACTTATATTCTCAAGTATATTCTCAACAATAATAATATAATTTATTGAATAACACATAAGCACATTTTTCTCGAATATATATTGATACCCTCGCGAATTTAATTCATGTTTAAAATAAGGGATACGTACCTTTTCGTAGATCGCGAACACTCAATCTATATGGAATTTTGAAACGATACACCACATTTTTGATTATATTCTATAAAGGATATAATTTTTAAATTGTTCATACACATCCTCTCGATTTCACTAAATTATCTAAATTATTTGGATTACCATTATTGGATTGTAATGGCGCGTTTATTTATCTTTCAACAAGTTATTTCATCGTATATCTTGTCAGTATATAATATATAAAGTATGAATACAAAAAATTCATTTAATTATTGTCCTACCTCAGATGTGATCACATCCTAAAACATTTTCACATAGGCTTAAAGATTGAATCACACGATACGAATTAACTAACCAAAGCATTAAAAAAAAAAGGTATGACGATAAGTTAGATGCATTTATTTTACTCAGGTGAAATATTTTGGATTTTGAAAAGGAATTTCTTTCACAACACTACCGCTACTATATACTACTATATATTAGTAAATATATAGATGCTAATTGAAATTATTCGCATTAGCGAAACTATTTCTTCACGCTGGCGAATTAATTCTGATTTAAAAAATAATTTCGCACACAACATTAATCCTATTTTTTTTAGATTTACGAACTAAAATTCTCGATTCTCGATTCTCGATTCTCGTACATTCAGACAAAGGAAACATTAATTTGTGAATTCAGAAATTCTATATTTCCGTAATCTGTTGTTATATTACAATACAAGAACGATGTATTGTGATTAATTCTGAGTTAACTATAGTTAGTTGTCGTACTAGTTGTTTATATAAAATGATTAAGAGGTAAAAATTTAATAATAACATGTGTTTCTGATTGCTGGTCTCGGAGAGGTATTCCGGTAAGATTTTATTTGTTGAAACAAGATCAGGAGGTGTTTGATGAACTTGAAAATCGAGGGAATGCGATCATGATATATCGTTATATTGTGTGAATGATGTCTATTATATATTTGATAAATAAAGTATTTACGTTTGTAAATACGTATCGGAATATGAACTCCTAATTTTCTATCAATAGAAATGTGATTATGTATATTGATAAACATAAATAAATAACTATATATATACGTATAATACAATATATACCGCTATATAACAATCATTTATGACACGATGTGATTTCTGCCAAGCTATGTGACTATAGCAAAATTATATATATATACTTTTTAAAAAGATAATTTAGCGTTAAGTAACCTATCAATTACTGAATACTGAATTACTGAATTACTGAATTACTGAATTACTGAATTACTGAATGAATTACATGAAATAAAGTTTATACGTACAACCATCACGTTATGTAACATAATAATAACGATAATGAATTGTACGTACGTTATATAAACACAAATAACAAAATTGATATTCATGCTTATTTCTAACTCCTTTAGTCTCATACGTAACGATCGACACTAAAAATATTAAATAGGGTACATACGTACGTAAAGACCACATTTTCAATAATCAGGTCTAGTTTAACATGTCCTTAAAAATTCACAATAACAATCTGTCCTTTTCAAAGATGGAATCCGCAATTGACACAGTTTTGGAATCACTGTAATTTAAAAAGTCATTCTTAATTTTTTTATATATAACGAATGACAAAATAGTTTATTATTATTATTTAATCGATTAAATATCTAATTTTAACCTAATTTTAAACCAATATAGAATCAAGACAGAAGGTGTTAAAGGAGTTTTGGTTGCGGACGCACATGGTTTATGCATTGGAGGTAAAATTTTAAGATCGTCGTACTTTTATATTTATTAGTTTAATTAATAAAAGTTAATAAAATTGTGAAGCTCGGGGAACAGCAAACCCAAACTGTGCTGGATTTGTTACAGCAATTGCTACACATGCGAAAGCCTTAAATGATAACTCAAATTCACAAACTCCAACTACAAAGATTGAAGCTGATAATTCGTGGGTCTATTTGATTTCTTTATCATTTTGTTTTTTGTAATTTTTTACTAATTTTATTTCTGGTTTATCCTTGGTTTGTCACTGGTAATAGTATAATATTGATATACAACGATGGAAATTATACTCTCGCTGTTTTTAAATGATTATTATTTATTAGTGTCGGTATTATTTTTTTAGATAATAAACGACCTTTTTTTATAATAAAAAAATTGCCAGTATCTTTTAATTCGTACTCTAACAAAAAAATTGCTATAATATTATCGTCATTGTTAAATTTAGTGATGTCAAATCTATGTATAATGGGCTTGGATGTATTTAATTTATAACTCGGATCTCCGATTAGATCTCCGCTAGATCGCTAGCTAAATTTCTGATATTTAAAATATATAAATACTTCGAATATAATTTTTGCGTAAATGATTCGGGTTGATAACATACAAGATCATTAACACTAGTAGCTTAGTAGTGGAGAATAACAAGACCATTTGTCAATTATTTGTTTTTAATCCGATTATATTTTCGATGATTGATAAACAATGAATTTATGAGTTTTGATTGTTTTCATCATATCTAGGCAAGTCAGTAGAGACGCTTTAAAACAAAACGATTTGATGTATTTTTACTGACTCATTGCTATATATATATATATATATATATATATATATATATATATATTACATTTAACTGGTTTAACTCGTTAAAAAATCGATAATATTCGTCGTTATCTGACATTTTGTTGTGTTCTACAATATAAAAATATGTTAATACTCAGATATGAGCAGTTCTTTGTAAAAGAGAAATTTGTAATAAGACAAATTGAGCGAGTCAATAAACTTTTAATTGACAATTCATGAAAGAAGGTGAATTTGTATTAATAAAATCTATAACAAATCTATAACAATTTAAGATTAAATTTTTGTTATAAAGCTATAGGAATCAGTATTAATATATATGTTTTAATATATTTTATTATAAACATTTCCTGTTAATATTCTCTTTCTATAATGAATCGTCAATTAATAAAACTTTCACAAATAATAATACAAATTTAATAAATTTAATAATTATTAAAGTTTTATTAGAAAACTCCTTATCTATTTAAATCAATAAAATTTTTATTATATGACAAAATAATACAATTTCTGTTTAATTATTTAAGGTGTTGTATCTTTAAAAATATCTGTACTCGTTAAATATATATATATTACCAAATTTCAAACCTAAAATAAATTCCTATGCCTCTTTAATTACTACCGTAAACTGCCGTATAAAAGACCCCTATGTATTATGTATTATACGGGTGCCGGTCAAAATCCCGACAAGCACAATCCCGACAGGTCATAATCCCGACAAAAAAATCCCGACAGTCAAAAATCCCGACAATTAAAAATCCTGACAATCGGGTAGAAATCCCAAATATGAGGTATGTTTAAAGTGAAGTAGACTCTTATAATTTAATTAACTTTAGGGTTAGGTCACTTTAGATGAGGGTTAGGCTCGGGTTAGCTATATTTTTTTTATCAAATTTTTAATTGTCAGGATGTCGGGATTTTTGCTGTCGGGATTTTTTTGTCGGGATTATGACCTGTCGGGATTTCGCTTGTCGGGATTATGACCCAAACCCGAAAGTTCTACCAAAATTCGAAAGTTCTACCAAAACTTGAAAGTACTACCAAAACTTGAAAGTCTTACCAAAATTCAAAAGTCTTACCAAAACTTGAAAGTTTTACCAAAACTCAAACTCTTACTGAAAGTCAAAACTTTTACCAAAGTCAAAACTCATTTTTTAAACATATTATGTAATAAGTAGCTGCGCAACATTGTCACACAAAACCAGGATCAGAAAGTGGATTTTCAGAGAGTTACAGGTTAAACCAGTTTTGACATAAGTTTCTGTTTGCTTCTATATTTAATTTTATCAATTTTAATAATAAGTTATTATCCATATAACAATCAATCCTAATTAAAATTTGAATTTACAATGTGGTGCAATTGATATATTTAAAATTTAAAACAATGCCGAGCGAAGTGAGGCAGAGCATAATAAATGTAAAACTGAGCTTGAATCGAGGCTGAAAGTTATTGCATTGATTATTTCAAAACCAGCTTTATGTACTTGTGCTTTATTTCATTAAAAAGAGAAAATTTTTTAATTAAGTTTAAAATGTTAATCAAATAGAGCATTGTTTTACTGCTTCACTTGATATTCTAATTATTAGTTAGCTAAAACTGAATAGCAAAGCCTCCCATATATAAAGTTTTAGTATCTATGTTTAAATTGCATCTACATTATTGTGAATCTTGATTAAACTTTAAGTTAGCAATTAATGATTATTGACATATAGTAAAACATGTAAAGTTTAAAGCCTAGCCAAGAGAAGTGAGGCAAAACATAAAAAACTTAAACCTCAAGCAAAGCCAAGAACTATGAACAAAACAAATAGAATACCATTTTAATATATATTTTTTAATTTAATTAAGCATGTATTTAAAATTGTCAGTGTCTGTTAATGCCATATCTAATTACTAGTTGGTGACGAAGCCGCCATATGATCATGTACTAGATGTTATAAGATCAACAAACCGGAAGGTCTATACAGTAATAATTTTATATTCATATCACAGTTCAAAACTACAAGAATAAATAGTAATAAATTACTAAACAAAGAAATATATCATATTATTATAGTAGTCTAGATTATTCTCTGATAACAAATACGTATATTTAATATGCAATTTTTTTTTTTGCATGCGATACAGCAGATCAAAAGCCCCATAGAGTATATACAAATATAGAAATACATTTAGAAGTCACAAAGATAGATTAACCAATCAGACACAAAAGAGACACAGCATTTTAAATGCCTGTAAACCATACACTACATACTTTATACTCTGTTCCTGGTATGCAGACTTCAACAAAGACCAATCAGATCTTGATATATATTTTAAAAAATCACATTATCACACTACTTAAAATCAGTAATAGGTAAATTCTTATTCACAATGCCATTAGTCAATTTCAAGTAGAGTGGTCATGTGATTTTTTAAAATCATTATATCTCAAGATTTGATTAGTCTTTTAATGTAATATATTTGAAAAATGCCTTTACTAGAGTGAAAATAGGGTTTGACTTTCATTAAGACTTTTGAGTTTTAGTAGGACTTTTGAGTTTCAGTAAGAGTTTCAAACTTTCAAGCAGTGTTATTATGGAACAGCATAGACAGTAAGTTCAGACACTTTGGACAATTTTGAACAATTAAATAAATTAAAATTATTCAAAATTTTATTAATATAATCTATATTATTTTCTAAGTAAAATATGTTTAGCATCTAAAAAAAAATATAATTATATATTTTTTAAACAAATTTATTAATTATTAAAGCTTAGACATGCTCTGGACACTTGGACATTGGACAGTATCAAAAATGCCTTTGGATAGTCAAAATATATTTTACTGCTTTCAAGTTTTGGTAAAAGTTTTGGTAAAAGTTTCAGTAAGAGTTTTGAATTTCAGCAAGAAATTTGATTTCTGTAAGACTTATGAGTTTTGGTAGAACTTTTGAGTTTAGATAGGATTTTTGAGTTTTAGTAGAACTTTTGAGTTTTTGTAAAACTTTTGAGTTTTTAGTAAGACTTTTGAGTTTTGGTAGAACTTTTGAGTTTTAGTAGAATTTACAAGTTTTAGTAGAACTTTTGAGTTTCAGTAGAACTTTCAAGTTTCAAACATTTCAGTAAACCAGATCCTATTTAAAAGTACACCTTGTTGATAAACTTGTTGCTGATGAAGTTGATGAATTCTATTGTGCAGCTAAATTCTGCATATGCATTTAATCAAACTCAGTTACTAAAAAAGACAAATTAAGATGGTTTAGTTAGAAATTTAAATAAATTTAATAAAAAGAAAAATAAATAAATATATCTGGTTTTTCTCAAAAATGGATGCTGAACTCATAGTAATATTTATGGCTATTTTTAGTTAATTTGTCTTTTGAACTACCTTCAATATATAATTGCATATTCTAAAATAATGAAATTAAAAAAAAATCATATTATTAGTTAGCATTAAAAAAATTAAAATAAAAAAAAATTAAAAAAATTTTAAAAAAATAAAAAATAATATATTTACCTTATACTCTTTTACTAAATTATTAAATTTATTGCAACAATTATGTTCTTTATAATGTGTACCATATTTATAATTAATTCTTGCTGCAACAGTCTCTCAGAATAATGATTTTGACTTCTAGATATATCATAAAATTCTTCATTATTTAGTTTACATTTGTCAATTAATATTTGAATTTGTACGCATTTTTAGTGATTGTACTCGGTCAAAAAAACGTTACTCGGTTAACCGGCAAGTATACCTGCGGGTTACCCGAGTGATCGACGGGTATACTCGGGTATAATATTTTACCCGTGTTACTCGGTTAAGGCTATACATATTCTTCTAATTTAGTCCAACATTTTTAGTTGGCTTTTTATAAACTCTTTCGTGCCTGTGATTTCGTTGAGTTTGGAACAATAAGGATTAATTTCTATATAACTCATTTTATATTTTATATTCCAAAGAGATATATATTTTCACTTTAATGTTAATTTATAACTAGTGCACTTGAAAATTTTATAATATTTGAACTATTCAATAATTTTCACTACTCTATTCATTTTAAGTATGTTTTCTCAACTTCTATTAAGTAAACAATTTATTCTATTTATTTATCTTATTTGATTTTAGACCCAAGCGTTGCTACAATACATGCTATTTCGCTTGACAAATAACAATTCATTAACGACCTCAGGCGATAGACGGGTTCTTTTGGGCGTAATTTGGTTGCCAGCATCGGAAAAAAGCCGTTCACTTGGAACGGATGTAGCTGGAATTGATAAATATTTTCTTGCCATTCTGCTTAATACAGGGAAATTATGCTGGTTAGTATGCCACCACTTATAAACATCTGTGGTATCGTGTGGAATTTGTGTAATCATTTCATTTAAATAATTGTCTATTTCAACTTCACTGCTCATTCGACTTTGACTGTGGTTAAATATTCTTTTTATAAAGGTAGGTGTGGGTGGAGATGTTTCAATGTTATTGTCTTCAACTGGTTCTTTATTTATAACAGTACTTTGCCAAGACTTGAATTCAGCACGTAGTTTATCAATTGTATTAGCTCTCACTTCGTTTGACCACAGTGTCATTAATTTCAATCGTGGATCTAATAATGTGGCAATTAATCCAATATCACCAGGATCATGCCAATAATGATTAAGAGAATTATAAATGGCACTTCGAACTTCTAATATTATTTTTTCATTTGAAGGTAACTTTTTGCGGTTAGTCTTTTTTACAGCCGATTGTTGAACATTTGTATCATCCGAGTTATCGTCTTCAAAACTTTCATTTTCAGATGACATTTCATCTTAAGTACCAATTTAATATTTAATATTTAATATTCAAAAAATAAAAATAAAAATAAGACTTATTTTTACCTTCAATATTAGTTGCACCCTCTTCAAATTCATCCGATGTTAACATATCATAGTCGACAAACTCAAGTTTTAATGCTTCAATTATTGGATTGACTGCTGAAAGAGTAGCATATTTAATCCCACTAAGATAAGTTGTTAACTCATCAAATGGCTTGAACACTTCTATTAATTCTTGTAACAACTTCCACTCATTATCCTCTAACATAAGATGATTTAACTTATCTGAATCTTCTTTAACACCCACCTCATCTCCTAAAGGTAAGGTTGCAGCAAGCCAATCAATTGCCGGACGCAATACTAGTAGCCTTTGCCAGGATTTATATGTAGTATTCCACCTGGTTTTTACATCACTAATAGCACGCAGAATTTTAATATTTGTTTCAGGTATTTCTAAATTGTCATTATTGCCTTGTTCCACCTCAGATAATGGATGGTCATCAGAATCGAATAATTGAACTGGAACCGAAGTGGCCTTACCACGCTTTTGAGCTAATTCAATCTGCGCTTGGTCGAGATATTGACATTGTTTTGGTGATCTAAAGAATTCGATTAGTTTATGAACTCTTCGGGTATATGGCTTTATAACCTTTAGGGCCTGATATAGAGTTGTTAACACACATGTAAGTAAATCTTATTTTAACTAACATATATTACTTGCAAGCAGGGTTTAAAATTGACATGCGTGTGTGCAAGTTTTTTTTTAATATGCAATAATTTTGTAAAAAATTTATGCATATATGCAAGTTTTTAAAAAAAAAGACTGCACGAAATATATATAAAATTATAAAAGGTATATTGTATAGGTAGAAAATTAAAAATACTTGCATACTGTGTAAGTTGAAAA